CTGTTCATTTGATCTTATGGACTCTTGCTTGTGGAAGGAAATTCCTGATTCCTTTAGGTATAGCCATTGCTGGGACATTCTGTAAGTATTCTTACTCTAAGGTAAACATGTACATGTGTTTTGCTGGTAATAGCATTCAGAAACTGAAGCTACAGTGTAGTTGTATTTAAACAGTTTACAGAGGCTGGACAGATGACTAAGCTGTAAGTGTGCATATGGAGATTCCTGAAGACAGAGGTCAGTTCCCAAGTCCAGGATGACAGTTTTTGTTTGTTTGTTTGTTTTTGTTTTTTGGGTTTTGTTTTTGTTTTGTTTTGTTTTTACTATGAAGGAAATCAATGCCTATTCCAGACTTGTGGCCTTTCATAACTCTTTTGTGACATGTATCCCAAGTGCTTTGCTCTAATTTTTCCTGGGATATTCTTGGCAATTCCTTTTGTGTTCTTGTTTCTTGAGGCAGGGTCTCATAGCACAGGTTGTCCAAAAACTCCATTTACCCACGAATGACTTTGCACTTCTGATCTTTCTACCTCCACCTCTCAAGTGCTGGGATGACAGGCATTCTGATCTGTCTTAGTTAGGGTTTTTATTGCTGTGAAGAGCTACCATTACCATGGTAATCCTTATAAAGGAAAACATTTAATTGGGATGGCTCACACACAAGACAGAAGTTTATTCCATTATCATCATGGTAGGACATGGCAGCATGCAGGCTGACATGGTGCTGGAGAATTAACTGAGAATCCTACATCTTGCAGGGAACAGGAAGTTAGCGGAAATTTGAGCATATATGACACCTCAATGCCCACTTCCACAGTGACATACTTTCTACAACAACATCACACCTAGTCTAATAATGCCACACCTCCTAATAGTGTCACTCCCTTTAGGGGACATTTTCTTACTAACTACCACACTATCCTTGTCCTCTTTATAGACTAGGAATTGAACTGAGGGATTCATGCATGCTAGGCAAGTATGCTTCCAACCAAGCTACATCCTCAGATCCTATGGTCTTTTTCTTTTTAATAGAATTTAAATTATAATTTTGCTATCTATGAATGTTTTTCCTGCTTATATGCCTGTGTACAGAATGTATTCCTGGTGCCATGTAGGCCAGAAAAGAGTTTGATCACCTTGAACTGGAGTTACAGGTGGTTCTGAGCCACCTGTATGCTGTGCATGCTGGGAAACAAACCCAGGCCCTGTGGAGGAGCATCAAGTGCTGGTAACCACTGAGCCATGCAATGACCCTAAGTGATCTGATTCTACTGATCCCCCAGATCTCTAGCTCTCCAACCATTTTTGTTTCAAGTCAGCAGTCAGGCCTTTTTTATTTCATTTTTTAAAAAATTTTTGATGGTATAGGTATGGGTGCTTTTCCTGTATGTATGTCCATGTACCATGTGAATGTCTGCAGTCTCAGAATGCCAGAAGAGGGCATTGAATCTTCTGGAACTGGGGTTCTGATCATTGAGTCTCCATGAGGTTGAAAGGAATCAAACCTCGATCTTCTGGAAAGGTGGGAGTGCTCTATAACCACTAAGCCATCTGTGAAGTGCCAGAGATCTAAAAACAATTTAGGTCATGTTGCTATACACATTATTTATTCTGAAAACCAAAGTCCTGACAGTAAAGTTCCTTGCAAAATAAACTCCTCCCAAGTCCACTGTTTTTCCTGGTTCTCTGTTGACACTGTTGTAACCATGCTTCAGTGCTTGGGTTGTCAAGCACATTATCACCTCAGGGCCTTTGCACCTGTTTTTCCCTTTGCCAGGAATGGTCAACTTTCATGTATCCCTTATTTCCTTTGTGTCACTGAATGAGGAAGCCCTGCTCTAACCACTTTAAAAACTTCAGCCCTACATCTGCCCCCATTAGTTACTGGATAAAGGCTCTGTGATGACAGTTCAGGTATTCACCAATCTGATTACTGGGTTAAGCCAGTTCAGGCACCCTCACCACTATTGCTAGTAGTCTAATCTGGGGTCATCCTTGTGGATTCCTGGGAACTTACCTAATACCAGGTTTCTCCCTATCCCCATAATGTTTCCCTCTATCAAAGTAACTCTTTCATTACTTTCCCACCCTAACTGTCATCATACACCCATCATCACCCAGTAACTGCTGGAAACAGATGCAGAGATCCAGAGCCAAGCACCAGGCTGAGTTCCAAGAGTCCAGTCAAAGAGAGGGAAGAGGGATTCTATGAGGAAGAGGCATCAAGATTATGATGGGGAAACCTACAGTGACAACCAAACCAAGCTAGTGGGAACTCATGAACTTTAGACCAACAGCTGTAAAGCCTCCATGGGATTAGACTAGGCCCTCTGCATAATCAAGACAATTGTGTAGCTTGATCTGTTAAGGGATCTCCTGGCAGCAGGATCAGGATCCATCCCTGGTGCATGAGCTGGCTTTTTGGAGCGTATTACCTATGGTGGGACATCTTGCACAGCCTTGATGCTAGGAGAGAGGCTTGGACCTGCCTCAACTAAATGTACCAGGCTCTACTGACCCCTCATGGGAGACCTTACTTTTTTGAAGGAGGGAATGGAGGGGTGGGTTGAGGGGGAAACCTGGGGGGGTAGGAGGGGAGAGAGGGGGTTCTGTGATTGCTATGTAAAATGAATTTTAAAAAATTTAGTTTAAAAAAGAAACAAACAAACAAGCAAACAAAAACTACATCTCTAAAGCCCAGAGTGGTGGGTTGTGCCTATAAATTAGCATTTGGAAATTAAGGCAGGAATATCAAGTTCAGGGCCATCTAGATTACAAGTGGCAGTCAAGGTCACCTGGGGCTACAGGATACCCTGTCTTAAAGATAATAATAACCTACAACCTTAGTGTTGAGGCTAGAGGTTGTGGGCACCAGTGAAGAGACTGTCAGACTTCCTTGCATGAAGCCGAGAGATAAAGCATCAGCTTCATTTTTGTTTTTGAGGTAACAATATGTTGAGATACCCAATTTTTGAGACACATGCCATTAATAGCTGCATGTAGGAAGTAGAAGTAGCCAAAGAGAGAGATGTATGAGAACTTGCAGAAAGAACCTTGTAAGCTCTTTGAAACTGAAGCCCCAGGTACCTGACACAGAGCTGCAGGAACTGGTGTTTGCCTTTCATGGTTTCAGACTTGCCTTGGTCCAATCTCTCCTTAATTCCTTTAAAGGGAAATGTATATTCTGTGCAATTGTATGTTGGGTTGATATGATTCGTGTTTTGATATTACATTAGGTCATAGTCAAAGATTGCCTTATGTGTCAGAAGAAACTGTGGATAATCAAACAGTATTGGGACTACCACATAATATGGGGATCTTTGAAATCAGACTAAATACATTTTGCATCATGATATGACTGTGAGCCTGTCATGACTTGTGTCAAAATGTTGAGGGTTGAATGAAAAATCTTCCAGGTAGTGCGCTGAATTTGAGCATTTGTCTTTGATGTGGGCCTGCATTCGTGACTTATAAAACCCTTAGTATGAGGAGCCTTTCTGGAGGAATATAGTCTCACCACATTTCTTTGTTTTATTGAAAGTGAGTAGCCCCCTTCCTTCTCATGTAGGCATGCCATCACCATCAGTAAAGACTCCATTCTTAAATAATGTAAGGTAACATAGAAGCAATTGCTTTTCCTTGCAAGTCCATATTTTTTGCCTGATATTTTTATGTTTATGTTTTTGGTGGATCTAATCACGTTTTTGTACATGTCAAGCATTTGCTCTTGTGCTTAACTTTGCCCAGTTCATGACTTTTGAACATTGGCAGGTTTGTCATTTTTCAGAGTAAGAATGCATTCATGAAATTAATAATGATTTTCTGAATCACTGAATTTCGGGTGTGTAATTATGTCCTTTCCTTTGTGTATGTTTTTATATTTTTATGTTTTCAAATGTCTGAAGTGTGTGTGTGTGTGTGTGTGTGTGTGTGTGTGTGTGTGTGTGCCACTTGCCTTCCTGGCATTTAGTGATGCCAGAAGAGAGCATTGGATTCTCTTGACCTGGAGCCTGGAATTAGGAATAGTCTCTAACCTCCAGTGAGTATTGAGAACTGGTCTCAGACTTCTTCAAAAGCAATAGTTGATTGTTTTTCTTGATTTTTCAAGACAAGGTTCCTCTGAATAACAGACCTAGTTGCCCTGGAACTTGTTTTGTAGACCAGGCTTGAACTCACAGAGATCCGCCTGTCTCTGCCTCCCAAGTACTGGGATTAAAGGTGGGCACTACCACAGCTGGACACAACAGGTGATCTTATCTGTTGACCCATCTTCACATACTCCCTCCCTTTTGTTATTGGTGTTTGTTTTACTGTTTTAGGATCAGCATTTACTTTACTAATGTTCTTGAGAACTCATTGATCTGTCAGTCAGTAACTTCTTAAAAATGCTTTCCTTCCTTGGAATTATTAGCCTTACAGTTCAATAGGGCACTCCAACTTATGATAGACAAGTGCAGAACTGGCATAAATGTTTAATTCTATGGAGGTATTTTGAGTGAGGCCTGAGTGATTTCTGGTTTTTTTTTTTTGTTAGAGACAGGGTCTCACTATGTACGTTTGGCTGTCCTGGCAATCTCTACATAGACCAGGCAGGCTTGGAAATCACAGGGTTTCACCTGTCTCTGCCTCCTGAGGGTTGGTATTAGAGTTGTGCACCACCGCACATTATTGTCCATCCTTTCTTGAAGTTAATGATTTTGATAAAATTCTGCTGATGTATACTAAATAATGTTACTCTGTTTGCATGTCTCTCTGTATATATTCCTAGGCATTTCTCCTGCTGTGCCGTATTCTCTTTAGTGGACACAGGAATGGAAGGTGTCATTCTCTTTTGATGTTTCTTTTTAAAATGAGTTGGTGACTGCATTTGATATTTACTGAACCATGTCATAGAATGTATCAAGCACACAGAATTATGTAAACATATTCTCAATGAAGTGTACATTTACAATGCAGTCAGTCTCACCATTTCTATTATGTACATATATGGGATACTTTAGGATACAGTGACCTATGAGGATGTGCATGTAAACTTCACTCATGAAGAGTGGGCTTTGCTGGATTCTTCCCAGAAGAGTCTCTACAAAGATGTGATGCTGGAAACCTACTGGAACCTCACTATTGTAGGTAAGAATGTGAGCTTTCTGTCAGTTTTTAACTTAAGGGAAGAAGCCTTTCTTGGAGATTGGTGCTCTTCTGTGATTTTGAATATGAAAGGGGAAGAAACTGGTGAATAAATCAGGCATGATACTAGATTCATGAAAAATAGTAATTTTAAGTGGGCCTAATTTCCAGTAATATATCACATATGTTTTCTGGCACTTTATTTTAGGTTACAAATGGGAACACTGTAATATTGAAGAACATTGTCAGAGCTCTAGAAGAAATGGAAGGTAATTTTCATGTACAAGCTGATATATATGTATGTTTGAAGAAATGTTAATGTGCCCCGAACTTTTAATGAAAATCAACTGTGTAAATAAGCACTTTTAATGAAAAGCAACTGTGTAAATAAGCATAGCTTTGTGATGATTATTAAATTCACACCACACCATGTACTCCAAAGTCAAATAGCTGATCAGTGTTTGTAAAGCATTCCTTTAAAACAAGACATAATGAATGTCACAGCTTCTATCATAGCCATGTGTGAGGCATGTTTTAGAACTGTCCATCAACTTACTGTCATGCCATTCAATTATCATATAAGGTATATACATTGATGAGGGGATTAATGTATGTCCAAAACCTTTTATAAGCAAAGCTTCCATATTAAAGCTAGTGTTCCTCATGTCCTTTTAGTGTGTGATCTAGCATAGTTTAATGAGAGGAGCAATTTATGAGAGACCAGGACATTGTCTTAGTGTAGAAACATACATCCCTATTCCACATCTGTGTCACACACACACACACACACACACACACACACACACACACACACACACACAAATGTTCAACTATGTGAATGCAACGTGAAAATCCTTTGTTTGTTATCTTCCTTTACCAGGCATATCATCTGTCACTCTCGATACAAGCCATGTGAGCATAAGGGACATGGAAAGAAGCATTGTAGTTCTGTCTCTCTTAGAACAACTGGAAGATATGTGGTAGTCCCCAATATGAGAAGACATGATGACTGTGATACAAGTTTACAATTAATTGGTTTTCCAACTTCAGTGGGAATTCATCAACAAACTCATATTGGAGAAAAACTTTATGAGTACCAGGAATATGGAAATTCATCTGTCTCTACTGGTTCACTGTGCACATGTAGTGTGTCTCACAGTATAAGAAAATGTTATGAATGCAATCAGTATGGTCAGACCCTGAGTTCTTCAAGTTCTCTTCAAAGATGTGAAAAAGCTCATGTGGGAAGAGAAAATAATAAATGTGAGTCATCTACTAAAGGTTTTAGGCTTGACAGGCATCCTCAAACACACACAAAAAACAGTAATGAAGAGGATCTCTATGAATGTAATCAACAGGATAAAGCCTTTAGATATGATTGCTCTTTAAAAGTACACCAACGAACTCATTTGGAAGGAAAACCCTATGAGTATAATCAAAGTTATAAAGCCTTTGAATGTCACAGTCTTCATCAAGTGCATAGAATTCAAACTAGGGGGAAAAGGTATGAATATCAGAAATGTGATAAAGCCTTTGCATGTCCCACTTATGTTCAAATTCAAAGTAGAGGTTATACTGGAGAGAAAGCTTATGAATGTAATCAATGTGGTGAAACTTTTGCATATAACAGTCATCTTCTCACTCATCTAAAAAATCATAATGGAGAAAAATCCTATGAATGTAATGAATGTGGTAAAGCCTTTGCACAGAAGAGTAGTCTTCTGAGTCATGAAAGAATTCATACCAGAGAGAAACCCTATGAATGTAATCAGTGTGGTAAAGCCTTTGCAATGAAAGATAATCTTCTTAGTCATGAAAGAATTCATACTGGAGAGAAACCCTATGAATGTAATGAATGTGGTAAAGCTTTTGCACAGAAGAGTAGTCTTCACAATCATGAAAGAAGTCATAGTGGAGAGAAACCCTATGAATGTAATCAATGTGATAAAGCATTTGCACTGAAGAGGTATCTTCTCAGGCATTTAAAAATCCATGCTGGAGTGAAACCCTATGAATGTAATCAATGTGGTAAAACCTTTGCACGGAAGAATAGTCTTCACAGTCATGAAAGAATTCATACTGGAGAGAAACCCTATAAATGTAGTCAATGTTGTAAAGCCTTTGCATGGAAGAATTATCTTCTCAGTCATGAAAGAATTCATACTAGAGAAAAACCCTATGAATGTAATCAATGTGGTAAAGCCTTTGTTGAGAAGAGTAGTCTTCACAGTCATGAAAGAAGTCATAGTGGAGAGAAACCCTATGAATGTAATGAATGTGGTAAAGCTTTTTCAGGAAAGAGTAGTCTTCGCAGTCATGAAAGAATTCATACAGGAGAGAAACCCTATGAATGTAATCAGTGTGGTAAAGCCTTTATACAGAAGTGTAGTCTTCTCCGTCATGAAAGAATTCATACTCGATTAAAATTCATACTGGAGTGAAACCCTATGAATATAATTAATGTAATGAAGCCTTTACAATGAAGAGTCATCTTCTTAGTCATGATAAAATTCATACTGGACAGTACCATATGGATTTAATCAGTGTGGTAATTTCAGATGTGACCTGCCATGTGGGTGCTGGAAACTGAAGTGTGTTTTCTACAAGAGGTACTTGTTTTGTCTAGCTCTATAGGGGTCCAGGTCCCCAAGAGACTGAGAAAGGAAGGAGACTGCCATGATTTAAGGTTGAATTAGCTTACTTGCTGCTTTATTGAAAAACGACTATACCCTTTATAACTGAACATTAGTTTAGACTCAAGCAAGACTGAAAGGAGACTTAATGATTCCATGATGAAAGCAGCCATCAACCTCATCACAGGATTTTTCTTTAGGCAAAAGCAATTACTTTAGCAAGTTTTTAAATGCCTTTCTGGATGTGAGCACATTGATTCCTTTCATAGTGTGCTTTCATCCTTGGAACAGGGTGTATCCAGTTAGTAAATCATTAAGTTCTCTATTTTTGGTGTAATCAGGGGGACACAATGGGGCTTCTTGTCTGGGAGTAGGTATAGTTATCACACTGTATGGTTCCATGGTGATGGGAATTTTTTCCAACAATTTTGTTTAAAGAGACTGCCGTTGTATATATCCCCTTCCTCTATTGTAGCCTACCAAAAAATTCTGCAGCAAAAGGAATAAGGAAACTTCATAACATAGTGAGAATTATTTAAATGGAAAGTAAAAAGATTCTGGAGAATTAAAATCTGCAATGTAGAAATGCTGGAACTTTGTCAAGCAGAAATTGTTACCTAGGAGTCCACGCCAGGTACTAAACTGCTAAACCATCTCTCATCCCTTTCTATTTCTTTTAAGATTTATTTTATTATTGTTGCCTTTGTGAGTGCACATGCATAGTATAGTTTGAAATCAGATGATAGCCTGTGCAACCCAGTCCTCCCTTTCTACCGTTTGGGTCCTATGGACCAAAGTACATCCATCAATTTTGACTGCAGGCACCTTTACCTGCTGAACCATGCTACAACATCCACTGAGCCCTGATAATGTTTATGTTAATTATTGTTTTTGGGTTTTGTTTTTAAAACAGGCTCATCAAGTTCAGGCTGTCCTTCAACTCATGACCTTTCTCCTTCCACCTCCAGTTACTGGGATGATAGGTTCCACTACCATTCCCTGTTTATGCAGAAGTCTTGTATATGCTGAGCAATGAGGGCCATCTGAGATGAAAACATTGATGTAGCCGAGTTGTTTATGCACTGGTCCACATGTAACCCTGTCCCCAAAACAAACAAAAATTGCAAACAAATAAAAACCTTTGTTAAAAGAAATTGTGTGTGTGTCTAGAGACAGAGTTTATCTCAGTTGCCTAGTCTGGTCTGGAACTCACACTATAGCCCTTGAATCTTGTCCATTGGCCTCAGTTGCCTAAGTACATGGAGAACATGGCTGGACTTCTGATTGAGCAAGCCAGAGCACTGAGAGGCTTAACTATGCATTTGTGGACACACAGCTAGTAGCCAGAGGTTCATTTCAAGATCAGAATGTTCCTAGGTTATGAGGAATATCAGAATATTCCTCAGGTTGGAATCCATAACCTTCCTTGAAATGGAATGCCATCAGTTCAGTGTGGAAGGATGGGAAGAGGCCCAGGATCTAATCCTCTTTGGGATTGAAGTGTCCTGAGAGTCTTATGTGGGCTACAGCCACAAATGCAGTGCGAGGCATTGTTTATGAAAAGAGAGATATACACTACCCAGGCCCACCCTATCATGCATGGTTCAGCTGCAACTTCACTGGCTTCTTTTTTTTTTTGGTTTTTCAAGACAGGGTTTCTCTGTGTAGCTTTGCGCCTTTCCTGGAACTCACTTGGTAGCCCAGGCTGGCCTCGAACTCACAGAGATCCACCTGCCTCTGCCTCCTGAGTGCTGGGATTAAAGGCGCGTGCCACCACCGCCCGGCTCACTGGCTTCTTATAGAGGGTGAGTGAGCATGCCAGGGCCAGAGCTGTGCCCAGCAGTCCCTGGACAAGGACTAGAAGAATGATGAAAAGGAGACTTCCCTCCTGCTCACTGTGGGGGCACACTAAGCTGAGATTACACAAAACTCAAAAACCACCCAGATAGCAAGGTATTGCAAAATTCTTCCACTTCTCACATGAGAAGCTCAGGCATAGAGAAAAGTAGGAGAATCTGGACTAATGCAGTTCTGGGTATTGATGCACCAATTGATTATTGTAACCACGGTAACAAGTATGCTGTCCTTACATAGGCACAGGGAGGTGAAGCCATTCTCACAAAGTCACAAGGCAGTAAATGGATCATAAGCCAGGATTCGAACCCAGTTTCCCATATGTACCCTTATAAAGTTTTTAAGATGGCATGTATTTGTTAATGTAGGGGTGAGGGTATGTATGTGTGGAGGCCTGAGGACAACTTATGTGAACCCATTTTCTCCTTTAGTCATGTGGATCCCAGGGAAGGATCTCAGGTAGAAAAACAGGCTTGGCAGCATGTTTCTTTACCCCCAGAATCGTCTCACATGCCCTCAGTTGTATCATTTTGTGTGTGCTCTTTGTGTGAATGTGCATGTATGGAGGTCACAGGTCAAAGCTGGGCATCCCATAAATTGATATTATACTCCAAGTTGACTTTATGGGTTATTGTGTATGGCAAGGCAACTCCAGACCCTAGAGTTCCCCAAGATGTACCGACAGGGACCATAAACAGGGAGGGGAGGCATGGTTGCTTTCTATGAATGGCCAAATACACAAAAGTATCTGCTGACCTGTAGGCCAGACAGTGTCTGATTTCTGTGTAGTAGACAGGGCCTTGAGTCATTATAACATGTGTTTTTCATTGCAAGGGATCACATCCCCATAAATTCCTAACTGTATTAGCCACATATTGCTTTAATTTTCCTATTTGTCACTCTGGCCCTATACATTCAAGCCCTTTTGCATTTTGTTTTACCTGAGATCCAGTTCAAATCCCTAGAAGCTGAATATTCCCCTCCTCCAGAGTCCAATCTGGATGCCAAGATTTGATGAATATCAAAGTATGATCTGGAATCCCTTTAAGGGTCACAAAATAATTATTTCTTTGGATTTTCTCCTCCCCAAATATTGAGAAAATATGAGGAATATTTTTAGCACTTGGGATATACAAATACAAGTTCTGAATTGGGTCAGCTTGAGTCCTGAATCTGGGACCCTGTACAATGTAGCTGAGTGAAGTGGTCCCTGGTTTCTCCCTGGCTCAGGGTGGCTGCTCCTGAAACCCCTGCCCCCTCCAGTGTACAACATTTGCCAAAAAACCTTTCTGCTAAAGGAGGCTTTGAGGTACAGCAGGCTATCCTGGCCAGCTCTGAGGAGGAAGAGGCACTGAGAGGCCAAATGACAGTCTTGCTGCAGAGAATCTAGTTACTACTGGCTCTATGGAGCACAGTCAGGTGATGGGACATAGAGAAAACAGTCTCTGTACAGAGAGGGATAGCTTGCTGGATCCAGCCTGGACATGGTGCCTCAGGGTCAGGTCCCTACTTCTGCAATTTATGACCACTGAAGGTGGGGTTTTGATTTAGGTGCAGAGGTGTGTAGTTGTGTCTTGCTATAGATTCAGTTGATACACGCTCAGTGCTGCTGAGGACACAGCTCAGCCATTCAGTTTCCATCATTCACCTCTGCAAGCTGAAGCCTGGTTGACCAACTTCTCCAGCCTGCAGGGTGATGACGAGGACTCCTCCCAGACTGGGAGGTCAGCGTGGGACATTACCAATGGTGCTCAGCCAGCCCTATCACACCATGTCTCCCTACACTCTTCCTGTGATTCCCATTACTCTGCAACACCTCACATGTTACAACTTCCAATATGCCACCTACATCACAAGTATCTACCCAGGAGTATAAGCTCACTGTGAATGGGTAGAACCATAACCAGTGTAGAACATGGGGTGATGGCAGAAATGGGGCAGATTTGCTCAATAGCCAGTTTGAGCTTCTGGACCCAAAACTCAGTTATGGCAATAAACACGAGTACAGTGCAATATTTAAAGAATGCAGGGAATGTTGTGGCTCAAGAGTAAAGCCCCTTCATAGAAAAGCCTATGGTTTTTACTACAGATATTTAAAAGGAAAGTCCCAGCCTTCTGGGTTGTGGAGAAGGTATGGCCAAGGCCAGCATTGAACTGATGAATGCAGATTATCAAGGGACAGACAAAGTAACTATTTGTCATTGGGATGAAAGGACCAAGCAGATGCCATAACAGGTTGCTCAGTCTTCTCTCAGAGATCAGGCCTCAATTTCAGTTTCCTGAGACTTGAGCAAGCAGTTTCTGGGAGGGCCATGAACAAAAGACTGCTCAAAGTTCAGCCAGATGTTTACTGTCTGGGGCCCCTCACCAACTTAGAGTTATGTGCAGTACGTGCTTGGCCAGCCAGCCCCCATGGTGACTCAAGGACAAAGCCTGGGACTTGTGCTGGACTGCCCCCAAAGTAATAAATTGTAACCACCAACCAGTAAATTCAAAGGTTACATACCCTCACCCAATTAAAAGAGAACAGAGATAAAAATAAACCAATCCGAGTTGCACCCATGCAAAACTCCCCCCACGAAGGGCTTGTGGATTTTGCCTTTAAAAAGCTAGCCACACAAAGAAAAAGCAAGTTCCTCCTGGCCTCACAACTATGAGTGAGTGAGTGAGTGCTTTGGATTGAGCTTCCCTGCCCGCGGCTTGTAAACAAACAGAAATAAACCATGCTATTGCATTCTGTACCTAAGGTCTGTGGTGGTAATGTCTTTGGGGTCCCAATCTGGGCATAACAGGGAAATGTCCTGAGTGGGCCTGCTGGAGGCCCCAATATCAAATTTGATCCAATCATTCCCTGTCAGCACCAAGACTTCCAGAGTTAGATTACAAAATGCTTTATGAATTGAAATTTTTTAAATGCACTGGGTAGTGGTGGTGCATGCCTTTAGTCCCAGCACTTGGGAGGCAGAGGCAGGTTCTGTGAGTTCAAAGCCAACCTGGTTTACAGAGCAAGTTCAAGGACAGGCTCCAAACCTACACAGAGAAACCCTGTGTCAAAAAACAAAAGCCATTTTTTTAATGCTATTGAAAACACAGGATAGGTGCAGAGAGACATTGCATAGTATAAAAATACTGCTGCATTAAATCAGCTTTTGTATTTTAAGAATGTATTAACCTATGTGGGAGCCCGTTCTCAGGTTCCTTGTGGCTTTACCTAGCAGATCCCCATAGAGAGGATGATTAGGCCTTTAACTTTAAAATTAAAATCACCTGAAGATGTTGGTATGGGAATCACCTGTGATTAGCTCTAAGGGAAAACAACAAACCTCTTAAGATAGCAAAACCTCTCTCTCTAAGTTCTTTCTTTCAAGCTTTAAAAATCCTCCCTGCAATGCAGGAGGCAGGATTTCCTAAAATCCTCCTCTAAGCTCTGTCTTTTCAAGCTAGTAAAAGACAGTGGGTCAAAGTCCCCTGAGTGAAACCCTCTGGTGAGTGCGGGTTAAAAGCCACAAAGAGCCCAATAGGGCAGGAAACTGTTTACCTGAGAAAAGCAAAAAGCCAAGCTGCTCAGTTACAGCTGAGCTGAGGCATCAAGGGTTTTGTTTGAGTGAGCGTCAATGCAAAGGTGCTTCTAATCTTCCTAACACAAAGATCCCCTGAAGCATCGTATCCTCACTTCTGACCAAAAACCCAGAGGTGACTGGCCAGCGTCTCTGAGTTGGGGTGCATTTCCGGGATACTAGGGTTCCTGCAGTTGTAAACTTCCTGGAGCACAGAGCTGAGACAGGAAGGTGCAGGACCCAGGGGAAGATTGCTAATGAACAAACAAAGCTAAAGCTGGTGGGAAAGGCACAGTTGTCAGCTTTCCTGGCTTGATAGGTCCACAGCTGCAAAAAGAAATCTGAGAAAAAGCTTTCCTATCAGAGAAAAGACCTTTCTGGGGAAGAAATAAAGTTGAACTGTGTCTGAAGCAGTGGTGCTGCCTAGTTAGAACACTGTCTGGGGAAAGAGCCCAGCCAGGGCAGAATGGAGAACTAACAAAGAACAAAGTTCTTTTCTATCAGAGAAAGCATCTTTTTGAAAAAAGCTTTGTTTCAACTGACTCCTGGTGAGGTGAGGGAGTGCAGCCCTGAGGGGTTGATTGCCTCAGGTGGATAAGCTCTATCTGAGAGCAGGACAAACAAATGCAACCCACTGGGGGACTAAGCCAGGTGAAAGGCCTGAGGGGAAAATGCCTGTCCTAATGTGAGCTTAGAGATGGCAAAAACCTCCCTTGCTAAGCTTGATTTATGAACACAAACCTCACAGACCCCCAAAACAGAAATGGACTAAAGCCCCTACCTTCAGAAACAAAACAGTTGTCACTGTGGCATTGGGAAATGTTTCTGGGGCAGAGGGGATAAATTGAGACCAAACTGGGAACTGTCTGGGAGAAAGACTCTGAAGAAACAGAGAAGGGACTTAATCTTCCCCAGAAAATGCATGACCTGAAAAAGCTGCTAGAATTTGAGGCAGATTCAGGGGGAGAAAGAAAGCCCCTATCTCCAAAGGCAGCTAGCAGAGGAACAGAGCAGCCTGAGATATATGAAGCTCTGCATCTGGGGGAGGGATGGGGGAGGGGCGGGACAAGCAAAATGAGATAAAGATCAGTGGGAGAAAATCTCTCTGAAGGAGCTATGGAAAAGTTCTGTTGTAAATGCTTTTGTTTTTTACTGACTAGCTAAGGCAAACATAAGCCCCGAGGGAAACTGGTAAAAGGAATGCCTGCCTCAATTCACGCTAAGTAGGCAGGTGCAGTTTGGCCCTGAATCAGACACCTGTTGAAGCCAGCTGAGGAGAAAACAGAAATCTCCCAATCTCCCGTAGTTGAAAACTTAAAACGCTTGATTCAAATCTCTTGTTGCAAAAGCAAAATCTTCGTAAGCAAGTCCGGTAAAAGTACCAGAAGTTGACTACCAGACATAAAAAGAACTATGGGAAATGAAGTCTGAAAGCTAGCATGTAACAGCGAGCTGATGAAGAGAATGCATTCTGGGAAATGTAGTTTTTCAGCTAAAGATGGCGATACTGTCCAAAAACTGCTTTTTCAGCTCAGAATGAAGTTTCTTTTCAAAGCAATGCTAGAAAGCTTAATCTTACCTCTTGAGAACTCAGACCAGACAGAAAGCTACCTATAAGAGCAAACAAACCACTTTAAAATCCTTAAGAAAGCAGTCCATAAACTGAACATTGTTTTAGATATGAAGAAATATATGGGAAAATAAAGTTCTTTGCCTTTTGAACAAATAGCCGGCAACGAATGAGTACTTTGCAAATCTAATAAGGAGACAAGGAAACAGGCATTCAAAAAGAAATGACTGCTTTATAGATGAGAAACAAACTTCAGAAAAATTTGTCTTAAAAAAATAGTTGCTTCACCTGAAAGTTCCTTATGAGAAATCAATGCTAAATATTACAGCTGCTAATAATAACATCAAGAGTTGAAGCTAATGAAGTGAAAATACTAATCCTGAAAATGCTTTTTCTCAAAACAAGCTAATGAAGGATATGTTTCATGAAAGAACATCTATATTCTTGACTCCTTTGAATAGTAACAGTTTCGGTGAAAATATTGGAACAACAATCAAGTCAAAATGTTTCAACAAATTCAAGATGCTATTCACAAAAGAAAGCTGTTGTGCTTTGTGGGCAATATTAGAGCTCACTCCAATCTTCCTGGTCCTTTAGCTAGGGTAATGCAATGGCTGATAAGTTAACAAAGATAGTAAGTAGCATTATCTCAAGTGGAAATGGCTCAACATGCTCTTCGTCATCAAAATAGCAAAAGCTTAAGAAAGCACTTCAATCTCACCAAAGAAGCAGCTCGTCAAATAGTTAAATGATGTGGGGTATGTCCAAAATATGTTCCTGTCCCTCACTTAGGGGTAAACCCTCCAGGTCTTCTTACCAACCATCTATGGCAAATGGATGTTACTCATATTGCAGAATTTGGCAAATTAAGATATGTACAGGTGACCATTGACACTTATTCAGGATTTTTAATGTCTAGTGCACAACCTGGGGAAGCTACAAAACATGCAATTATGCACTGCTTGAAGTGTTTTTCATATATGGGTATACCAAATTTATTGAAACTGATAATGGTTCTGGATATAGTAGTAAGGCATTTCAACAATTTTGTACCCAATGGAAAATCATACATAAAACAGGTATTCCTTATAATCCTCAGGGACAAGGTATTGTAGAAAGGGCTCATAGCAGTCTTAAAGTACAACTTCAAAATATAAAAATAAAGGGAAAAAATTTACCCTCAATCGGATTAAATCATGCTCTTTCTGTTCTGAACTTTTTGAATATGGATGTCTGCGAGCAGTCTGCCACAGATAGATTTTGGCACAGTGCCACCCAAGCGACTTTTGCTCAAGTGAAATGGAAAGATCCCTACTCGGAATTATGGAAGGGTCCCGATCCTGTGTTAATATGGGGTCGAGGATATGTTTGTGTTTTTTCACAAGAGGAGAATGAAGCTCTGAGGTTCCCGGAGTGTTTGGTAAGGAGCGTGGAACTAAGGAAGGTCAGCTCCAATGACATTCGTATAAAGGAACCAGAATGAAAATGGCCCGATTAATGTTTCTGAGGTTTTGTCACTGGTTAACGCAAACAGTGAGGAAATAGCGTTTGGAGCTGTGCTGCTTTTGGCTTTACTAGCTCCTTTAGAAAAATGCTTTATATCATCTAATAGCTGTGCAGTATTTGGCGAAGAGCTTTACAGCAGCTAAATATGGTAATTTCACCCTCAGCATGAAGTGAAGTTTTTCAGTAGAACAAACCAAAAGTACTGCTGCAATAGAAACGTTTGTCTGAATTTAAGCACTTAGGGGAGCTATTATGAATTTGGGTGAAGGAACAGCCTCTAGCTAAAAACCGTTTACCACTGACAGCTCATCTCTGCTGGTTCCGGAATGGCTGAGAGAACTCCGCAACTTTGGGGTGTGGCTTCATCCCAAGAATGTTACAGTCCCCTAGCAACAAGTTTCACAACTCTATAATGACAGCACTCACTAAATCCCAGTGTTGTATAGCAAAGCTGACTATAAACTCTAAACTTTAGAAATGATGTACATACTTCCTGTCTAGTTAAGAGAATCTTTCTAATAGAGATAGTTATAATAATTAAGAGTAAGAAGTAGAAAAAGATGAAAAGATATGTGAGTTTGTAGAAATTATTCTGTCTTGTTAGATCTGTGTTAAGAAATCTTTAGGTGTTTGCTAAGTTAGATATATGCTAATGGTAGCTCTATATAAGTTTGTAAAATAGATCTATAGAGTTCCTTTAAGAATATAAGCTTGCAAGAAGTATCTAAGGTAGTCTTAAGACATGTAGTAATAAGCTTGTAAGAAGATGCTAGTTGTAAATGTAAGTTTAAATAAGAATTTGTAAATGTAAGTTTAAATAAAAATATAATAAGTAAGCTGGGTGGTGGTGGTGCTTGTCTTTAATCCCAGCACTCGGGAGGCAGAGGCAGGAGGATCTCTGTGAGTTCGAGGCCAGCCTGGTCTACAAAGAGAGTGCCAGGAAAGGCACAAAGCTACACAGAGAAACCCTGTCTCAAGAAAAAACAAAAAGAAAAAAAAATAAGAAATAAATAAGTAAAGATTCTAGTTGTAAAAGATGAAAATAAGAAGTAAATAAGAAATATATTTGCTAAAGTAGTTCTGTAGTTTCCTTAAGAAGTATAAATAAGTAGATGTTAATATGTTATATGTGAGTTTATTAAAAGTATAAATATTGAGTGTGAATCTATGCTTAATGTATATGGTGAAAGAACCTGAGACACAGAAGGAAGTGTCCTAGTAGACTGCAAAGTAGGCAGTCTGAATGGTTTCAAAAGCTCCAGAAGCCGCTAAGAAGCTAAGAATGGCGGAAGCCAGAACCATAACAAGGCATCCTCAGCTGGAAAATCAACCCAACACAGAAAAACCTGAACTAACATCAAAAACGGTGTGGTTTAGAATACTACTGTAACTAAAAAGATCTCTGTCCAGGAGAACAAAAGTTGCA